AGCGGGGAGGGGAGAGGGGGGAGGGGAGAGGGGGCGGGAGGAATGAGGAGAGGGGGAGGGGAGAGGGGGCGGAAGGAAAAGAAGAAATAAAGCACGACAGAGAGCATCCAAGTATAAATTAAAGTAAGCAGGCAAAGGCACGATTAAGAACCACACAACTAAACGTAAGGAGCTTATTTGTACTTCTTGAGGAAACGACGGAGGGAGCGGGAGGGAGGAGGAGGAGGGTTTTGGCGGGTGTGTGGCGGGAACTTAGGAGGTCGAGTGCAACAGGTTGAACCCACCATTCTTTCCCTCGACCCTGTCCATAAGTGCAGTTCCCAACCCCAACCCAACCCTTGCAACCCCCCTCCTCCCCCTAAACCCTCGGCCCTTCCCGCTGCTTCCTCTGCTCACGCCCCCTCCCGTCCTTCTCGTACACTTCTTGTACATTCTTTCCTTGGCAGCCGCTTCACTCGTTCGTGGTTCATCTTTCCCCTGCCGTCCTCAGGTGGTCGACTGGGTGGAGGAGATCTGCGCCGACTGGAATTTCCGACAAATCATTCCGTGCCACTTCGCAGCGCCCATCCGTGCGGGACCCGCGGAGCTCCGCCGGGCCTTCACCTTCGCATACGAGCTGGCAGAGCAGGAGGGCCTGCTGCCGCCGCGGCCGCCGCCGCCGCCACCCCAGCTGCCGCAGCTACCGCTGCAGCTGCCCGGCTTCCTGGGAAGTCTGCTCGGCGCGCTTGGTGGCGGCGGTTCCGGCAGCGGCTCCGCTGCGGCGGCTCCCCTGGAGCGTCCCGTGGTGTTTCCGCCGGACGACATGAAGACGCTAAACTCGTTGAACGAGACGTTGTTGTCGTTGGGGGCGGTGAAGAGGAACGCGGATTTGGAGGAGCTCGGGGTTGCGAAGGGTGTTGAGGCTGGCGGTGAGGGGACGGGTGAGGCGGTGGAGGGGGCGGAGGAGGAGGGCGGGGTGGGGAAGGCCCGGAAGGGGGAGTTTCAGGCGGCGGCGGCGGCAGCAGGGGTGCAGAGGCGATGACACAGAAGTGGCAGAGTGATGAAGTGGCTGGGGTATTGGTTTTGAGTTTCGGAAGGGGAAGTGACGAGGAGGATACGGGGCTTGGGGGGGGGAAGGGGATATGGTGCGGGGTAAAAAGGAAGGCGGTGGAAAGGGGGATGTTTTAAGGTTTTACATGCCCTTCAGCTTAAAACCCAAACGAACGCTATTTTCAAGTTTGAATTTATAGGGAGTGAAAGGTCCATGGGGGAGAGGTGTTCAGATGAGACCTGAGATGGTGTTGTGGTAGGAGAGACAGTTGTGCGCGGGGTGTCGCGGTTGGGTTGCGATTGCGATGACGGGAGCGGACTTTTTGCTGTTTTTGCTGTGTATCAGCTGCTTCTGTTGCTTTCTCAGTAGTTCCACAGTGCTTGATGATGTTTACGGTGCTCTCTGGGACGAGGGGCGCTGGAAAACATAAACCGCTGCCATTGCTGCTGCTGCTACTGCTGCTGCTGCTACTGCTGCTGCGCCGCTTAAAGATGATTCAGGAGAGATACCTGACAATTGGCCGTGGGAGGGACCAGCGACAACTGACCGATCCCGCCCGCCGTCAGCTCCAATATCGTTTCGTGATGTCGTGAAGGAGGAAAAGCGCGGGAGCTACTCACGAGGGTCGGCCCAGCGGGATGACTCATAGCGTCGTAACGGGATGACTAATAGCCGTACATGCTGGGTGCGCAGCGTCGCACCCAACGACAGGCGTGAAGATTGCCCGGATTGCGTGTTAATCCGCGCACACAGCATACAGGGCGTGTGGATGGAGCATTTGACAAATCGGCAGTAGTCAAAGAGATCAATTACGGAGGACTAGCAGTCGGCTAATGCACATGGCCACTCTTGGAGCTCTGGCTCGCTCAACACATGTCACGCCTTGATTTGCCAGTCGTACATCATTGCACTAACCGCCATTAACCACCAACCGTCGGCTTTAGGAATGACAGCGACGATTTGGCGGGAATGTGTTGGAATGTGACCGACACTCATATGCCAGAGTATGGTAGCAGCAGTAATAGGACCCGGGGGGGTCCGGCGCTTTGCTGGTCTTAACAGAATGTCACCAGCGCATGAAAACACATGCGAGATCAATGAGCATCGAACGCATTCCGGCAAAGGGGCCTATGCTTGGCTGAATGCCACGGAGCGCGGCGTTATTTCATGCCAAGGAAATTTGCGTTGGGCTCTTACTGTCCTCTATGTCGCAGCAGTGACTGGCGGTTACTGGCGGTGACGCGCTGGAAGCAACCCACAGGAAGGAGACAGGCGTGAGGCGCCTGGAAGGAGGTAGAAATTAATAATGGTGCAGACAACAGTATTTGGAGTGGTTTCGGTTCTTGTTTTACTTTTTTGTCTAACAAATGTTATGAAAGGCCCCATGGGTCGACTCGCTCCGAAGTCGGCTCCTCAATTGCCGAATTGTGGGCTCGGTGCTTTGCCTGCATCCATTAGAGCTATGCAAGCCGTGTAACCTATGACTTATCGTAAGTAGGCACCTTTAAACTCTTATGTATTAATGCGAAGTTGACTGTCCCGTGCCAATCGCCGTGGCTGACAAGCAGTAAATATGCTAAAATTATAGCACGGCATTATGGGCGGTTTATAGCTTACCGACAACGTTCAGGATGGAGGCCCTTTGTTCCCGCTTGCGGGGTCTGGCCCAAGATTGCATCGACAAACACCTGACAGCTTCCGCAATCTTTTACGCCGATAAGCTTGTCACGTTCAGCAACAACTCTCCTGGAGATGTGTACCTTTTAGCGCAGGTCTGCTTCTGCCTTTGGGAAATTTGTTCCCGCGCGGACGGAACTTTTGCGCAAGTTTCTCCCACGCATATGTTCCACGCTATATGCAGAAAATTTAACTTGCAAAAATAACTAGCTTTTAAAAAGCAAAGATACGCTCAAGCCTTGCCCCTTAGAGCTTCCTATGTCTTCCGATGCAGGCTTACTTTGCCGCGCGACAGTTCCACCGCGCACTGTCGCTGCTGCGGAATGCGGGCGTCGTGGAGCTCGGCGCTGAGTTCACGTACCTCGCCGGCTGCTGCCTGGCGGAGGCGGGGGACTGGGAGGAGGTGGTGGCACTGCTGGGCGACGATGAGGCCATGCAAGAGCCCCAGGCCTACGAGGTGCCCAAACAACGCCAAAAAAGCGCTGGGACCTGTACCGGGACTAAAGGCGAAGGAGTTAAACATGCATCCAAACGTATCTTATCCTCCCTATCAGCACCTACATCCCCCATCCTACCTCCCTGCCATCCTCCCCTGCCGCCGCCGCGTCCTGTATGCTTCGCCTGCCATATTCCTTCCCCTTCCCACCATCCCTAAACCCACACTGATACACCCCTACATACACGCGTTTGAATGCTGTGGTCTTGGTGTTGTCAGGATTCGGTTCTGGAGCCCCCCGGCGGCGGTGCGGGTGTGCGGGTGCAGGCGGGTATGTGCTGTCTTCGTGGCCGTGCGTTTGAGGCTCTGGAGAACCGCTGTCGTGCAGCGGTGTGGTACCAGGTGGCATTGCAGGTGGGGACGGGTGGGGCAATGCGTGTCTGTGTATTTGCAGGTGGGGACGGGTGGGGCAATGCGTGTCTGTGTATTTGCAGGTGGGGACGGGTGGGGCAATGCGTGTCTGTGTATTTGCAGGTGGGGACGGGTGGGGCAATGCGTGTCTGTGTATTTGAGCATTCGCTCTTCTGTGTGCGGGGGGATGTGTGCGAGTGCCATTTCCGAACTGAAGCCGCGGATTCCTGCCTCCATAGGGGGAAAAAAGGGAGGGGAACATCAAAATTGGAGAGATGCGAATTCTGGGAATCCAGGGAGGGTCGGGTTTCATCTGGAAGGGGATTGGTTAGGGGTGTGTGTGTGTGTGCGTGCGTGTTTCACATGAGAGGTGAAAAGGTTGGAAGGTGGAACGATGGGGAAAGGGAGGCGGTGAGTATCTTATTATATCGGCAACATGGTTGTGCCTGCCTGCCTGCCTGCCCTTCTTTCCGGTCTTATTCCCCTGCCTCACCTCACCTCACCTCACCTCACATGCACCCTCAGCCCACTCCCTCCTATCCTTTCCCCGCACATTTTGGCCCTTTTCGGTGCCCTTTACTTTCTACCCCCCCTGCCCCTTTTCCCCCCCGGTCTCTCGGCATCACCTCCACTCGTTCGTGGTTCGTCTTCCTCCCCGGCCCCCCCCGCCCATGACCAGCTGGACCCCTACTGCTACGACGCCTTCGCAGCTCTCTTGGAGGGCCACCTGCTTTCCAACGAGGCGGAGGTGGTCCTGGTGGACCGGCTGAGGGGCGCGCTGGCCGAGGGGGACAGGTGGCTGGGGCTGCTCATGAGGGCCAAGTGCAAGAAGGTGCGCGTGGGTAGATCACGATGTGTCTTAATTAGGAGACGTGCGTGGATTGTATGCGTACGTATGTGTACGCGCGCACGCGCGTGTGTGTATGTGTGTGTGCATGTGCATGTGGGCCAAAACATTATCGCGTTTATGTGTGTGTGTATGTATGTATGTATGTATCTGTGTATGTATATCGGAAGGAATTGGAATGGGGAAGAATGGTGGAGGAATTACTAATTGCAAAGGTAGTCAAAGGATGCGAGAGAATGCACAGATGCTGGGGAGGATGGAGGAGTCGGCTTGAAACTGAAAGCTGAGGAGGCAAAGAGAACATGACAGACAGACGGTGTAGATGCGATGGTATCTTTGCGTGGAAAGGAGTGGGGGAGGAGAACCGGCAAGGGGAACCCAACGACCACCGCAATGGGCACTAAGGGTTCCGCTCATGTCGCATACAGGTACATGCGTGTTTATTGCTCTCCAACAATCAACCCTTCCCCCATCCGTTGTGTCCATACGTGTGCATACGTGTTGGGCGGCGCTGTACGGCAGTCGGGAGCCACGTCGGTCTTGTCCTCATGCAACACATGTCGTACTGTACGGTCCACACGCTCTCGCCCTTTCTCGGTTGTACTTTTGCAGTATGTGCAAACTGAAGTCGTAGAGGCGGCGCTGCGGGAGCTTGAAGCGCCAGCACCAGAGCAGGTGGCGGAAGCTGGTCCCGGACCGGTGTCGTACCAAGTGCCGTACGGCGGTGGCGGCGGTGCCGCCGCCGCCGGGGTTGCCATGAATGGGGCCCTTCAAACCGCGGCCAGCGTCGGGGGTGGCGTCGCCGGGGCCCTGGGTGCGTCGCCGATTCCGTACATGACGCCGCCGCGGGCGGTATCGTGCAGCGGCGGCGGCGCTGGCGGCAGCGGCAGCAACAATGCGACACCGGCCGCTGCCGCCGCCGGTGGTGGGGCCGGCGGCGGCTGCGGCACGCGGCGTGGAGCCCGGGGCGGGTCGCGGCGCGGTACGCGGGGGGCGGCGGCGGCAGCGGCAGCCGCCGCCGCTGCCGCTGCAGCGACGGCAGGGCAAGGATTGCAGGGCACACCGGGGGCCTTCAGCGGGGAGGAAGGCACGATGGACGACGCGTCAGCACGAAGCGCACCCTTCCAACATCACCATCACCATCAGCAACAGCAGCCGCAGCATGCGGGTCCGGCCGCCGCGGCCCCTGGCTCGACAACACTGCCTGCTGGTCGCCAGCGGCACCAGCAACAACCACAACAAGAACAACAACAGCAGCAGCAACAGCAGCAGGGGAAGGGGGAAGGGGTTCAATCCAACGGCGGTAATGGCAGCAGCGGTTCTTTCGGTTGCGGTCTTGGCGGCAATGTGGATGTGATTGCTTGTCGAGCGGAGTTGCTGTTCCACAGGTAAGTCAGCTTTAGAGTTTACTAAAATTACAGTATACAATAACAATATTGGACAATCATGCTATAAAGTAATAAAAGAAGAGCCGACTATACATTAAGCACCTTTTCAGGTACCCACGGGTGCTGCTAATATTAAAGTTAATTTTTTTTAATATTAGATTTCTAGTCTGTAGCAACATTTTAGACTGCTGACGTTAGACCGTTGGACAATAAATAAAAATTAAACTGACATTTTCTTTTAAGAAAATATTTTCATGCTCCTTATTTACATTTATGCGGCTGCTAGCGTACATGTGCCGAGATTCGAGGGCAGGGGTACGGATGTACGGCGCTTGCAAGCCGCCACGGTGGGGGATCGGCCAGGGGGCTGTGGAAAGCTTAGTTTATTTGGCCATGTCTGTGCGTCTGTGCGATTCTACACATTTCACTTTGTAAACCTCCACACACACACACACACACGCATACACACAAACACAAATGCATGCGCCCATGGTGTTTGGGGTGTCGCACTTACACACGGCTGCGGAATGAGCGTAATACAATTCAAGTATATCCACCACCGTGTTTTCCGAACCTTCAACTCGACCCTCGTCCCTCGACTCCGACTCCCGCATATGACATACAGGGGTGATTATGAGGCCGCGTACACCCTAACGCGTCCTGTGCTGTGCTGTGGACGAGATCCGTACGCGCTGCAGCTGCTGCCCGTACACCTAGCAGCTGCTACGCAGCTAGCGGCGTACGGCGGTGGGGCTCGAGCGGATTTATTTCTATTGGGTCACCGGCTTACGGAGGAGCACCCTGAGCTGGCAGGTACCATGTACGGCATTGGCAGTTAGTGTCAGTGGGTTTTAAGTGACGTCATTTCGCTTGTCGTTCTTTTAGTCGGTTGGTAGTTGGTAGTTGACCCCGCCGGTGCCGCGGCCCCCGGGAACCACGGGTCCCAGCAGCTTCCATGCTTCCATGGTGAGGAATGTGTTGCGGTGAGGCTTGGATTGCCATTTCCTTTCAAAATTTCCTTTCAACATTATTTAGATTTCATTTCCTTTCAACAAAGATATCATTACAGCCACGGAAGGCGATTTTTCGGGCATTTGCGCTCAACCTTCCCCCCGTGGGTTTCGTACGGGTGACTTCTCCAAGGAAAACATCATTACTTTGCTCATTATATGCATTTTCCTCATCTCCGCTCCCGGTCCTCCTCCCCCTCCTCCTCCTCCTCCTCCGTTCACTTCTGTTGCCCAGTTTCCTGGTACGCGGTGGGCTGCTATTACCTGGCCGCCCGGCAGCCCGAGGCGGCGCGGAGGTACCTGGGGAAAGCGACGCAGCTGCAGAAGGGTTTTGCACCCGCGTGGCTGGCGTACGGCCATGCCTTTTCCGCGCAGGACGAGCGAGACCAGGTACAGTCGTACACGCCGCTTACTGACATGGGGGATGAGGGGGTGAGGGGGATGAGGTTTTCGCCGTGTGCGCGTGCGGGGCGGGGGACACGGGGTATGGGGTATGGGTTCGTATCTGGGTGGGACAGAAGGGGTAGAAGATTGAGTGGACGAGCAACGGGGAACGAGCAGTTGGTGGGTTGGCGTGCTGCCTCTGGTTGGTTGTGTGTGTATGTGCTAGGAAGCGGGTGTTCAGGCCTGGAATAGGGTTCTTAGTTCCGTTCGCCCCCTTCCCGCATTTTCCCTTCCCCCACACCTTTTAGCTTCCGCCGCCCGCCCCCCGGTCCGTCCGTCCCTCCACACGCATACTTTGGTTTGTTGCTGTAGCGGTACTGTACGGGACCCGATGGGGGGAGGACGGATGGCTGCCGACGGAAGGAACGACGCAGAGATATCCCTCATCTGGTTGCTACCCCGCAGCCTCACAGCGCTGGTGGAGATGGAAGTCCCTTGCCCCGAAGCGCCCAACCCCTATCGACACTCTGCCCCTCACCCCACTCCAC